AAAAAAAAAGAAATCTCTCAATAATCAAATGGTTTGAACTTCTACTGGCTAAAAATTTTTATTTTAAAAGGTATGTTTTATTTAATTGTTTTCTAATTTTTATAACCCTAAATTTGTATTTGAGAATTTTCAAAATTGATGTAATTTTTAAGGCTTTCATGATTTTGATAAAATAGCATCTTCAATGTTATTTCTTATTTGTTGTGCACATTTTTTTTTTTTTGTGTATTATTTGTTTTAGGTACCTTTGTAATTGTAATAATAGTTTAAAATTAGCTCAAATTTGTTCTTGTCCCTCATTTCTAAGTTCTAACTTAATCTTATAATTATTTGTATATTAGTTATGTAGAAATATTATAAACGGAAATGTACGAGTGTTGACGATGAAAGAAATGTCCGAGGAAAAGGCCAAGAATACGAGAACCTGTAAAGAACAATTATAATGTAACGTTTGTCATTTTTGTTTGTTCTTTTATAAACTATATTGTGCCCCCTTAGTTTTAAATGTTTGCGTTCGCCCCTGGTTTTTACATAATTTCATGGATTATTATTTTAGTTTGACTCGTTAAAGTTTGAACTCGAGTTCTTTTTTTTTTATCAAATTTATTAACTAACGGATCAAGTTCAATTAACTAAATCAGGTCTCGACCCTCGAAAAGTAGGAGATCGGTTAAGTTTACATACCTCTCTAATTAGTTCAATTAACTAATTCATTCCGCTACGGAATGGTTCCGTCATATTTTGTAAGTGTTGGATTATCTACACATTATCAGATGTGTATATCTACGGCTAAAAAGCATAATGGAACTATCCCGTAACGGGATGGTAGTATTCTCCCTAATCTTAACTTGCCTCTCTAATCTTAACTTGCCAAACTCCATTCTGTTCAAATTTGGCTAGATCCAACACGGCTAGTTTACAGTTGTAGCTTAAGGATACTCGACGAATGTCCTATTCAGTATTTTTAGAGAAATTTACTCCCCTAACAACTAGGACGATACTTCCTTTTAAAAATACGACTAAGAAAGCTTATTTGCAATAGTACCACCAATTATTAACTTCACAATTAATAAATTTAATATTAACTAATTAATTACAGTTATAAAAAAAATAAATCTTAACTACCTGCAACTTAGTGGTCAAAATTCTGGTAATCGTATAAATAGTGTTGTTAAATTAATTAAATGATCTCGGCTCGGGTTCGATAGCTCATTTGGTTAATGACTCGAGTTTGAGTCGGCTTGATAAGGCTCGAAAAAAAGAATTTTTATATAATATTCTATAGTTTAACTCATTAAAACTTGAAATCGACGCGTTAAGGCTCGAACTCGTCTCGTTTATAGTGATAAACGAGCCGTACTCGAGCTCGATTATTTAACGAGCCAAATTAAGCTTGGTGCATTAAGGGCTTGAGCTCGGCTCGACTCTTTTACCATAATCTTGACAAAAAATTCTCTACAACTTCTCAAGGTAGTAGATTTTTAACTCATGAGGTGACCCGCAGGTCCAGGCCAAGCCCGGGACCGACCCGGAATTTGGCCATATCTACATACAAATATACCTTGTAATTTGTTTAATAACATTCTCATCATTCTCTGTTTTATTTATTAGAGAATTTGCACCCCTTACTTTAAGTTGTGAAATATATTACACTTGTATATTTATTATAGTAATATTTATAAATTTACTAGAACATGAATAAAATATTGCACTTCCACCTAAAATTTATTTTGTTTTATTTTAAATTTCTCTCTCCTATTTCTTATCCTGTTCCACTTCCGTAACTTCCTTCTCCCCCTTTCTTTATCCTCTGTCTCTTCTTCGTCTTCTCTAATTATTTTTATATTTTTTCTTTCTCAAATTCACAGACACAATACTCCAACAATACTATGGTAAAGAACATAATTCAAAGGCGTAAATATTGAGAAGTTTCTTGAAAATAAGGCAAGGTGTAATTTAAACGACAGTTTCTTTCCAAGGCAGCCAAATTATATAAGACTTTTACTGATTCTTCTTCTTCTTCTTCTTTTTTTCTTTTCTTTTTTTTTTTTTT